AAGAAGTTTGTTTGAGAAATTCGGTCGAATCTCGAGACAGGGTGACGGCAGCGACCTCTAGTTATTATAATAAACTGTCATGTTGCATTGACTTTTTCTGCATATAAAACTTCTGGTCTTTAATTCTTGATAAATAAAAATGATCTTTATCTTTATTAGCAAAATAATAATAACATTTAAATAACACTGCCTGGTATCAAGGCAATTATTAGATTTTCCAAATTGGTCTCAATAACGTAGGTGAAGTGTATACGTTCAGACTGCCATTATAACTAGCCCTCTATAAATGAATACTTAAAGAAATGGTGTAGCAATATCTAATTACATCATCTACTCGAAAAATACTCGTAAAGACATACGATAAATTGATAATGTTTTTTATTGTTAAGACTTAGTATAATTTAAAATTATAAAACTTAAAAATAAAAACGACTTGCAAAGAATATAAAAGAAAACTAAAAATAACTATTAACAAAGAGCGTCGAAAAATTCATCCGCATCGATGTTAGCTGGGAAAGTACCCAGATGTATCAAAATAATAGAATAATAATAGAAACCGATCTAACTGGGTACTTGTCAAATTCAAACTTTTTTCGAACTGTCAACAATGACAGTTTTCTATGAATTTTCAACGAGATTGTGTATTGTGACGTAACTTTTTTTTAGAGTGAAACAGCACACCTATTTCATAAAAATTTGCTGGAAACATATTAAAATTAAGTTAGTCAATAAATCAATTAATGAAAGTGTGATTATATTTTTACTTTTTATTGTATTGAACAGTCGAAATAATTTATTTTTAATTAATGAAAGTACCCTATTGCAGAAATTAATGCGCTCAAACAATCGAAAACCGAAACTCTATACATAACACTATCAAAAACATACCTATCAAAGTACCACTGAACAAGCACAATATTCAAAAACTGAAAACAAATAACATGAATGCTGTTACACAAGATAGTTCCGTACAATCAATTGGAAACACTTTCCGTTTCCGTTTGTAAAAAAAATGGACATAATATAGCAGGTACCATTATACTGTAGTTTGGTACACGAACTTCTGATGATACGTGTTGTACCTATATAGAAAAAACAATGAAAGAAATGACTATGCTATATGTAGTTTAGACTACACTAAAAGCAGTGGCGTAGCGTGCTTTGTATAAAACATTGTTTAGGGGCCTGTGTGTGTAAATTTCTCACAACAGATTACACTGGTCAACACTGATTTTGCCACACGAACTTTGATAGCTAATTTTGTTTTATCAATCTACCCTCATCATTAAATCACAGTTTTCATTTGTCTGTTAGCCTCATATTTGTTGTGATACGGTAATACTCATAACTAGTACTACGGCGGTAAATTAACAGAAACGCTCACAAGTAAATCGTCATAAAAGTATTTGTAGTTGAATTTGAATATTTTTTGTGATTTATTAATCCTGTGAACATGTCGAGAAAGTGTAAAAATAACCCTAACTCTTTTTGTTATATCTGCGGAGAACTTACATTCAAAAAACAACGACGAAATTTTACGAATCTTGTGCTGGAGTGTTATCACCAATGTTTTGGTTTTTCTGTCGCCCATCAAGACAAATTCTGGGCCCCTCATGTCTGTTGCATAACGTGTGTGAAAAATTTAACCGACTGGAAGAAAGGTGCACGAGCTATGCCTTTTGCTGTACCCATGATATGGACTGAACAGCGAGATCACGTTTCGGATTGCTATTTTTGTCTCACTGACTTAAAAGGTATAAATTACAAGAAAAAAAAAACAGTTATCTACCCTAACGTATCTTCTGCTATAAGACCAGTCTCTCATTGTAAAAAAATGCCAGAACTAATACCAGTTGCAACAACGTCTGTTGATAACGACCATTCACAACCGTCTACTTCAAGTCGATCTTTTGACGAGAATGATGACTTTGAGTTTGAAGGAATTGAAAAGGAGCCACATTTGATAACTCAAGGAGACCTAAATGATTTGGTTAGGGATTTAAATTTGTCAAAAAAGCAGTCGGAACTATTAGGATCTCGGCTAAAAGAATGGAATTTGCTACATCATAATACAAAAGTTAGCTATTTTCGAAACCGTGATGAACACTTCAGAACGTATTTTTCTCAGGATGGAGATTTGGTGTTTTGCAATAACATAAATGAGATCATGAAAATGTTGGACATAGATTTTGAAATCTCTCAGTGGCGTTTATTTATTGATTCTTCGAAGGCAAGTCTAAAAGCAGTTTTATTGCATAATGGAAATATGCTTCCGTCTGTTCCTGTGGCCCATGCTTCAAATATGAAAGAAACCTATGAAAATATGAAGTTTTACTTGAAAAAATAAATTACAGTACATATTCCTTCAAAATCTGCGGTGATCTTAAAGTTGTTGCATTATTACTTGGACTTCAGCTGGGTTATACAAAATTTTGCTGTTTTTTATGTGAATGGGATAGCCGAGACAGAACTAATCACTATATAAAAAAAACATGGCCTATGCGTGCATCGTTAGTTCCTGGCCAAAAAAATGTAAAGTATTTACCCCTTGTAGAGCCAAATAATGTGCTTTTACCACCATTGCATATCAAATTAGGATTAATAAAAAATTTTGTGAAGGGAATGGATCGCAGTGGGAGTGGATTTTTGTACCTAAAAGAAAAATTCCCTAAAATAAGTGATGCAAAAATAAAAGAGGGTATTTTTGTTGGCCCTCAAATCAGGGAGTTAATAAAAGATTCAACATTTGAAGAAAAATTAAGCGGTTTAGAAAAATGTGCATGGAACGCATTTAAAAATGTTGTTGCAAATTTTTTGGGCAACCACAAGAGTGACATCTACAGAGAGTTGGTTAGCGAGCTCTTATTGTCATATCAAGCATTGGGTTGCAACATGTCACTCAAGATCCATTTTTTAGACTCGCACCTGGATTTTTTTCCTGACAATTTAGGGGCTGTCAGTGACGAGCACGGCGAGAGGTTCCACCAGGACATTTCTAGTATGGAAAAGCGGTACCAGGGAAAATGGAGCCCAAATATGTTAGCGGATTACTGCTGGACAATTAAAAGGGACCAACCAGAAGCTAAACATTCAAGAAAATCTTAAATTATTAAGTAATTTATATAAAAAAAAAGTTTGATTTACGAGATCTGTATTTTTTCTTAATATTTTTAATTACTCAATAGAATAAAATCCTTGGCTAGCAAATTTTTTTTAACTGTTTATCTTTTCTTACAATCACCAACTAAAGTAAAAAATATCAAAAAAGTCCGTGTGGCACGAAAAAGTTTGAATTTTGTTGACCAGTGTAATTTTTACATAATATGGGTACCTACTAATATACCTACTAACCCAGTAAACGTTGCGGGGCAGCTGTTTGCCCAGCCACCGCACCAAATTGTCTCAATATTGGGTTAAAGTCCCGAATTGTTATAAGTTCATGTTCATTTATGAAATAATGATGCGTGACAATAACAAATATCTAAATAGTACCTACCTTATTTTAATGCGAAAGTAATGTCATTACTTTGTCACACTATCTGCCTTCGGTAATCTTTGATGTCTTCATCGAGACGATGGGTGATGGATGGAAGTAAATAAATATAACATCTAACTATGTAAATGAACACAAGGGTGAAAATTGAAACTAAGCAAGTACAGTGTATATGTAGAGGTATAATGCAATGTATCTTTAAATGTGTAATTTTCGAAAACACCGTGACCATTTCAGAAATCATTTAATTAAAACATTTTAGTTCGAGATAAGAGAAGGAGATCTTGAATCAAATAATTGTATCAAACCCAACTACTGGACTAACGAATACCCGACACCAATGGTCGTTTACATCAATGGAATCTGTAATCCGCATTCTTAACAAATAACTGCGATATCGATCGCTGTATTTAATATAATCATTACAGACAATATAACTGTAAATAGAGGTATAGGTTAAAGAATAATGCATATTCAAAGTTGGAAAACCTTGCTAAGATAATGTTATTGTATATTTTGTATCAGTTAATGTAAATTATAATAATTTTATTTAGTCTCTATGAAACCTCAAAGAATGTTATTTATTATATGCATAAGCATAAATAAATATCGAACTGAAAATACATAAACAATAAATATTGTAACATTCACTCAATAAAATTACATTGTCAATAAAGATAATTACAATGCACGTAAACACGAAACGAAATTCATATACCATGTAACATTAGTACATTACACTTATGATTTCATGCGACAGTTTCTCCTCACAATAATAAACGTATCAATTCATTTTAAATACTAGTTACTCCTCTAAATAATTCACAGTTCATATATTAAACTGTGGTTCATCAATACGTGTTGATTATAAGCAAGTACTTCCTAATTTGTGAGTTGAATGCTCTGCTTCCGTGGCTAATGGCTCGAGCCCCGGATGTGGACATGAAAGCGACCAATCCGAGCCACAACAATGTGTACACACCGTACGACGTCTTATGAGACTACTCTTTCTGCCTACCCCGTTATTGATGGAACTTGAACACGTATATTTATAGTTTGAAAGTTCAACTTAAAAGCTCACATTTCTTTATTACATTTCTCCGCATCTCCACTCAATATGCTAAATTCAATCAACTTGTACACAGATAACATAATTGTTAGATCAAAACCAGTTAGTTTATATTTTCATTAACATGCGTCCGTCATATAATTTTTGGAAAGTCTGAATACTTCGCGTACCGTTACTCTGTTCTCTGTTGCTAACACCTTTTAATAATATCTCTATTTAAACGGACGACACTGATCCGAACAATGTCCGACTATAACAAACTTTTCATTTGATGTATGATAGAAAATGGCGTAGGAAATTAGAAAATGTTCAGCAGCAGTCAGACACCATCAGACATTAACATTGAACACAAATAGGAACTAGAAGTGGTAACACAAATTTAATTTTCCTTGTAGCACAGTGACCCAGAAGGGCGACCTATTTAGGGAAGGGTCTCACCGGACAGCAGGGAGCTCGCGAAGGATTCCTGGCAGAGCGAGGGAGGCAGGAGGGCGGCGAGGGCCAGCACGGCCACACTGAGGCGCACCACTGTCATGGTCACAGGTCACTGGCAGACACAGTCAGACACAGTCAGATAGCGCTGTCTCGCATGGCGCGTCCACTGCTCGACTCGCGCGCGCGCGCACTGTCCTCCACCACTACCGACGTGTTTGGGTGCGTAAGCGTTGCATTGAATAAGTCCAACAGACGCGACAGTCTCCTTTGAGCGCGTCTCGAAGGACCGAGAATGTTCAATGATAAATCCCGAAAGGTCTATTCGTACTTAAAAGGATAATTGTGAATGATTGGAAAATTTTACTAAGAACCCCACGCCTCAAGAGGAAATTCTAATGTAACCGTGGCCTTAAAAAGGACTTAGTGAAACCGACAATGCTTTGAAGCTTATTTTTCTGATAGCTGTGTTACAGCTTGATGGAAAGTTCCTATTCATTATTAAGAGACTAAGGTGAAAAGATGAGCTAAGGAAACCTTTTATACTTGAACCACTTATGACAAGAAACCGCAAATTGATTGCCTCAATAATATACAAATTGGCGAAAATAATGAATGTGATAGTCTATTATGAAACCAACTTAGTTATCCAGATAATTTACCAAAAAAATTGAGTCTGTAGGTCAATAATAAAAGGAACATATACTGTCTCTTCTACACTTTTATAATCTTTGTCCAAATTAGCATCATTTAACGGCAAATGCTGGTAACTGCGGATCGATATTATTGCAAGTGGTGCCACCGATGCTGCCACGTGACCGACCATCAATGGCTACGTGTAGAGTTGTAGGCCATCAATGACTACCACTTACCATCAATGACCATATGGTCGACTAATGACTTAGCCAAATTATTGTTTAACAATCACATTTTTCGTATACAAATTATAATTGCATGTAAGTAAATCGGCTAAAAATTAGCTAAGGGATAAAGAACGCGCTGAAAACCGAAACTCGAACTTTAGAACATATCCATCTATCAAACCTTCATACATGACTCCCTCGCCGCGACATTGACAGCTGATAAAAAGTAAATAAACAGTTAATGCAGTTGCAACATCTAGTTGACTGGTTGTCCGTCATAGGTGCGTATACGCAGCCACAGGGGTCGTTTACCCCAAGAGACCTGTCCAGGCTCCATAATTGTCACTGTCAACTTTCGCGGGACTTCACGATATAATTCATAGATCGATAGATAAGTAAGTAGCCATTAAAGCAGTGTACCAATCAATATTACAACCAGCTCGTAGCTTTATGACTAGTTATTAAAATATCGCGTAATGTTTTTCGAAAGGTGTAGTGTAGACTGGTGTAGATAACATGCAACTCTCGGTTGTTTTTACCTTTAATTTTTTTTATGGTATAGGTGGCAAACGAGCAGACGGATCACCTGATTGTAAGCGATCAGCGCCGCCCATGGACACCCGCAACACCAGAGGACTCACAGGTGCGTTGCCGGCCTTTTAAAAAGGAATACGCTCTTTTCTTGAAGGTTTGAAGGTCGTATCGTCGTAATTATTATAATAGGGGATGGGATTAACATCGTACAGTGGCCACGATTTCAGACTCCTTTTGATATAGGGCAAAATGTAGATACATGATACAATTTGACTCGCTATTATTAAAAATCCAGCGGTAGGTTTTCAGCTGTTAGTCGCATGGTCTGACTATTCATGGCCCTTTATATAATCTTCACATTAACATAACTAGATTAACTAAAAATTGCGGGTTACACACGTGAACACACTGAGAAAAGCTGTACTACATTAATGTAGCTTCCCGCGATTTTTAGTTACCTTAGTATCATGTCTCACGATAGTTATTATAAAAACATAACATAACTACCACCTAATGTTAGATGCTACATACATAGCATAATTATAGACAAAATCTCGTTCTACATAATCAGAATTTGCGTCTGATTTTGACAACCTGAAGAATTGCTCTTTATTTCTTAATACGAAATGGGCCTCTTCACCCTTGACGTTCGATCCCTCAGTATTTTACAGCCAAAGTACTAGAGTGAAAGAGGGAAATTGCCTCCAACAAGTATTACAATTGACTAATACTGGCAATAGACTACATCACAAACTTTTACTTTTAAAGTGAGTGTGTGTGTGTGTGTGTCAATATTTGTCGTACAAGTACGTCTGAGAGTAATTCGCACCTATTACTGACCAGCGATAGCTTAGTGCTCCCAATGCGATGCCAGCGACATCTATGATAGGCGAAAAATTTTGATTCATCAGTTTTATCGCAAGAGTTTGGTTGAGAAATGCTTGTGTTGATTAATAGTTTTCAAAATAAAATAATAGAGAAGGATTTAAACACATATTTAAGACTATATTGTTACCAGCAGTTTCAAAGTGAGAATCCTTTTGTTTTTAACTGTCCTAATCAGAACCTATGCCTTTAGTGATACTCTCTCTAATCTCACTCAGACGGGAGAACGCATTGGATGACTTTCCATCCTTAAGAAATACCTTTCATGGTCTTTAAGTTACATGTCATAGTCTCTTAGTCTAAAACTGTATTTTGTACAAAATACCAAAGTTATGTATTTTCATAAACGTATTAATAGATTCGTCTCATATAACGCGAAAACGTTAGATCAGTGATGTCCTTTCATGGTCAGATGTAATTTATAGACTCCCAGTGGGCCAATGACCTCAGTTATATCCTTACAAATAAATTTATTATGATACGACTTTAGATAATAGCAGTCTTGGAATGTCACTTCTGAATCAGCGAGAGATGACACTATAAGATTAAACATTTTTGGAAATCTGTTTTATAATTTACTAATTTATAACATCTGACTTGTTTTTCCTCATGGGTAATCAAAACTGTCAGTGAGGTAACAACACAAGGTACAAACACTTTACTATCTCTTATTTTTGAACCAATTGTTTTTAACTAAACTTGACTTGTTGGTAATTGTGGGAGAACTATGCTTCTGCATGGGCTTCTACCCCCCTCTCCTCTTCCCGAATCTCCCAAAACTCTGAATCCCAACAATCCTCAAAAGGCCGGTAACGCTCTTGAAACGCGTCTGGTGTTTCAGATGTCCATGGGCGACGCTGATATTGCTTACCATCAGGTGATCCGTCTGCTCGTTTATCGGCTTATGCCATAAAAATAATTGAGGTTTGGTGCTATTATCTACTTCTATACAATTCTATACCGATATATCTTCTATTGTATACTCAATCCTGTATTTCCCCCCTGTTCCTTGGTTGTATAAAACCCCGGTATCCAAATCACATTCAATATTTTGGTCAGTATGAGAAAAAATCGTCTGCCGTATTTGGGAGTCCCATCCTTGATTTTTAGTCTTGTAAATTGTAGAACTATACCTTCGAAGTTATAGTTACACCAGCCTGCATGAATGAAATATCTTTAACGTCTTAGGACAGTCACATTCATATCATTCTTTGAATACCTAGCAGTAAGAAAATGCATGTTTTACCTACTTATAAACATTTTAAAAATGTGTATTGTGTATGTACATATGTTTACACATTTTAAGTGTGACCCAAATTCCATACAAAGTAAAATATCTTTAAGATCGTAACCTATCTTGATAGGTACCAGATTTTCAACAAAAAAAATGTACACAGACACGTAATCTTGAAAACCTAGTTCTTAGAATAAAATCAAACGCCCAATAAGCATAATTATGTGGACATTACGGTACATATTAGCTAGCGGGCAGTGGGTTCGACTCCGGGCAGACCTGTTTCGAACTGTAAACTAAAATAAGTGATGGTAACGGCTCCATAGTAAAAAGAGAAAGTTACTTGAACATTATACGTTTAGTTTTAACTAGTTGTCTGAACGGACAGCTTCGAATTATTTGCGTACCTACGTAATCAAAGCCTAACTTTTTAAAAACCACGTTGAGATTCGCTGTAACCAGTTATTCTGACAATGAATTGCAGATTTCGTCTTGATGTCAGACTATAGGTAGGTAGTACATGCAACCAATGCAAGTGAGATTGTAAATAGAAGAATTTACAAATTGTTTATCTAATGGTGTAATAGCCGACTATATTGTACACGACGCAAAATATCAAAAAGCATAGGATATTAAATTAGGACAAATGATTAGGTACAACTACTTATCTTATACAAACAACAACAACATAAAACTAAAACAATAAACACCAACGTACCATAATGGTCATCAACCTCACACATCTTATTTTAGCAATATGAGACAATATCCTCTTGACCGGTAATGAGTCATACAATCTTACATCCCTAACACCCAACATCCATTAACAGACTTATGACATACAATATCACTTTAAACAAACAAACAAAAGCGCAAACAAGGCCCAAAACAATAAATACATTTAAAAAATCAAAAGCCGTCGCCATATTTCAAGATTTCATTGACCAATAAAAGTATCAGGAGTGCGTACACGCGGCCATTAATCTTTGGGAACAGAGTGCGCCGGCGCATGTGGCTGAATCAAAACACGACGGATCGTTAATTGTGCGGCCTTGTGGACTCCCACCGGGGTAACGGGACTTGGCAGACCAACTGGGGGGCATAGACTAGTTATGTTGGTAGATCTGAGACATCGTCTTACTGTTGGAGATTGTGGTCAGTATTTTTAAAGATAAAATTTTAAAATACGATTTTTCAACGATTTCAAGTAAAGTGACTGTATTCGGGTATGTTCCTAAGCTGCGTTGACAGACGCAGTAGTGTCGTTTAATCGTTTACTAAATGGGATATGATTATGACAAACGCATTCGTAAAAGGGAAGCTGGACGCATTCCACTTAACACGTTGAACGCCATGGGGGTCATCGGTGACCGGCGTTAGCGGAGGATTTACCTTCAACAGTTTTTTATTGGCAGTCAAAGTCAAAGTCTTATGATGAAAGATCCCTTCCTTTCTCCTAGCTATTATAGTTTTCTTTGATACATTTCTACACTACACTAACTAAAACTCCTTTATCTAGGTACAAAAAATAAATATACACATTACCTTATCAATCACTAATTTAAAACTCTTTAAAAATTAAGTCTT